GAAAAAATATAATATTTTTTATAGAAATTATGCTAAAAAAATAATATTTATTAGTATTAACTTATTTACAGAATAAAAAATAATATTTGTAATAGCAATATATTTATAACTAGAAGAGTATTTGCGTAATGCAGCGAAATACATCTTAATTTTAATATTTTATTTTATTTTTTATCTCAGTCGATGTTATAGTATGGTCTTATGTGATTTTGAAAAATCGATAATATTTTTATTTTTTAATAAATTATAAATTTGAATATATCATAAAATTTTGACAAAAATATATCAATATTAGTATCAAATTAACTTTTTAAAGTTTTTATTTTTTGTGTAATTTTTTAATTCATTTTTTAATTATAATTTAATTTAGGTTCAATAACGAATTAAATTATATTTGGTTTAATAATATAATATATTATTTTGTTAGAACTCGATAATTATCCTAATTATATTTTAGATTTTTTATATTTCAAAATGAGATATTTATCCTTTATTTGATTATGTTTATTCGCAGTTATTTACACAAATTCAAACATGGAGCTTTAATAAGTTGTACTTATGCATAATTTACTTGTAGTCTTGAATTTTAGTAATATGCATTAATATACAGTACTTCATGCATAAAAAATAGTTTTTAAGAGTTTTTGTTAAATGTTTTATAAAATAATATATATATATATATATATATATATATATATTACATGATAAAAGTACAAATTTGATATATTACGAACTAAAAGTATCATAAATTTAAAGCTCTTAATATTGATTTTCTTGTAATTTTCTTTATGCTTCATTTATCGTTGTAGGATCCATTTACGTCAAATTCATAATTATGTTTCAATTTTCTCTTTTGTTCTACGTATTTATACAAAATGATCGTGGAATATGAACGTTAACTTATATTTTCAATTTGATGATATAGACGATACTGTTAATTTCTACTATAAATTATGGCTCAAATTTTTCGAACTGTTTTTGTGGAGTACAAAATCTGTTCAAAATCTCATAGATGCACGTAATACGTCAAAAAATCATCGTTTGCAATTAAATTTGGTTGAGGAGATTTAATAAACATTTGAAGGGAAAAAAATGACAAATAATGTGATATTTTTAGTTTATATTTCAATTTAATATCTTAACATTAAATACATATTATATTAGTTAATTAAATATATTTAAACATTAAAAATTACTTTAAGAACTACATAATATTAAATTTAATTATTATTTATAAAATCTTTTGATAAAAGTAAAACAAAATATTTTGTTTAATTAATTTATTCAAATTTATAATATTTCATTTATGTTAATAAATAAATTATTTGATATTAAATTACAATAAATAATACTTAATTGAAAATTTATTGTTATTTGATTACGTTATAATTTTTTTATGCTGATATGCCTCTTAATCAATTTTGTATTACAGTTTACGAGTTTGTCGTGTAAATTTTTACCGAGTATTACTTATTTTACTGGATAAGTATGATAATGACATATGATCTTATTCGGTAACAGACATAACAAAGACCGAAAATTTTACCTGATAAATAAGAAAGAATACTCTTACTGGGTTAAGATTCTTATCAAGAATCCATTTTGGTAACCGAAAATGTTTTTCAACATGATAAGTGAAGATGAAGACTCTTACCGATAAGTGTTTACTCAGTAAGTGTTCGGTAAACGACTCTTAATTTCTATTGAAAAACATTTAAATACTTAAAACACTAAAATATTTTTTTTAATAATATATAATCAAAAACATTATATATATTTACTATAAATAAATATTATGTAAAAATTGAAATTATTTATTTAATTCAATTAAAATAGAAAAAGAAATAATAAATTAACCAACCACATTTTCCCCCTGTTTATTTAAAACTCACTCCCATTTTCAAGAACCAACAAACCAAACCATTAACACCTTCTACACTCCAAGCTTCCATCGTCTCCAATTCCATTTCAATCCCAAATTCTTCAAATCAAACGAAAACCCTCTTTTCGTTCTTCAAATTTCTTTCAAACCCATTTCTCCGATCCTCCAAATTCTGCAAAAATCGCCCAAAATTTCGAGAAAAATCTCATCATGTCGTCAATCTTTGCTTCAAATGGGATGGTCTTAGCGACGGCCATGGCTGCCGTCTCCGGCACCGTTCTTCTCCTCGCCTTCCGCCTCCAGAAACAACCCACCACCGCCGTCGCCGGAGCCGCGAAATTCTCCGTCACCCACCACCCAAGACCCTGCATCTCCATAGGTTTGTTTGAAATCGTCTTTGACTTTGATTTGGTCAAACTTCTATACCACTGTTGACTTTCCATTTTTCTCTGCTTTTGACTTTTTTTAGATGGGAAGAAGAAGGTGAAAAAGAAGAAAAAGAAGGTGCACTTTGCAGAGGATGTGATGGAACCGAGTGGGAATGGAGAGGAGTTTAGAAAAAGACTTCAAAGTAAGAATTTTAATAAAATGAGGACTAGTTCGTCATTATTCAAAGATGAAGGGGGTAAAAAGAAAATAGTTATGCCTGCCAATAGGATGGCTCTTTACGCTGGAATTCTCAGAGACCGAGGCGTTCAACGGCTGGCTTATTCATGACTCTTTCTTTTCGTCCAAATTTAGTCCTTATTTTTGTAAAAAGTACAAGTTTGGCCCCTCATCTTTCATAGGATGCAAATTGCATCCTTTTTTCTTGTTTCATTATGTTATAACTAGTGTTGTTGGTCTTGTACTTCCTTGTACAGATTGAGAAGGGGAAAGAAAGACATTGTATACAATGTAAGGGGTACTTTTGTAAATTTAGGAATTCTGGAGGGCATATGATGTAATGATATTATCGAAGACTTTTGTAAGAAGATTTCTGAACAAGGGTGATGGGTTCCCTTTAGATAATTTTACTTGCGCCCCTTCAAGTATGAGAATTTGACATTTTAAACCCCTTTAGTTATCTCAATTCCTATTGCTATTCACTTTCTTTTAGTACTATAATATTTATATACGTCAAATAATCAAACAAATTTCTTACTTTTGGTAAGATATGAATCTTTACTTCTCGAGAAACTGACTCTACAGGTAATCTAGATACTGGTGAGTCAATAAGATATGGATCTTCACTTCTTGAGAAACTGACTTTACTGGTAATCCAGATACCGGTGAGTCAATAAGATACGACGGACCTTTAATTCTTGAGAAACTTGACTCTACTGGTAATCTAGATACCAGTAGACGAATGAATTTGAATTATTCCAAAAATGCCCCTAACAACCAATGATTTTTATTAGGTTGAGTTTTTCCCAATTCAAAAGAAGTCCCTACCATTTAATTTTGTACTCAAAAGAGACAACCTTTTCTAATATGTCATTTTCTTATGCCCTTCCATTCTTGTTGGAAACAAAGTACATTAATTTTATAATATCAATGACGATGTGTTTTTAAAAATACCGACCATTTATATCTGTAAGGAAAGAACAAAGTTTTATATGGGGTTGGTTTTTGGATTTTCTGTTCGGTTCATGTAGAATATAATTTTTATGTAGGGTCAAAACCCTGATCTTATTAACCGGTTTCATGGATGCTATGTTATGTTATAACATATTGAATTTGACAAACGAACATTTGCATACACTCGTTACATTGTTGTCTTATTTGTATTGAGAAAGAAAACCAGTAAAAATCCGTATGATTGATGGGTTTTCAAGATTTCTGAAGAAAAAATGTCTCTAACTGATATGACAATTATATATAAAGCTGTCGTTTTCATTGTATTCTGTTGAAAAAGTTACAGGTTTGTAACAAAATGTATACCTTGTAATATTGTCTGTAGTCCGATGTGAAAATGCAATCTAAACTTGATCAGTGTATTACTTTTCAGCATGCATGCACACACACACACACACGCATATATATATATATATATATACACACACACATTGGAGTATCGATTTGCATGTTTTACACCTACAATGGTACAAAAACTCCTATTTTCTTTGCAATTAACGAAAACTATAGTACGGAATGCCTACACTGGTAAAATAATTCTTTCCACATTTGTAGTTGATCATCGATTCATTACACGTGTCTACATTGTTATCAAAACATTAAAGGGCTCGATTACAGTAATAACTATAGAACGTTTTTACACGTCAAACCGTGCATGATGTGAGACGCATTATTTCTTACCTTCGTATGAATGATGCGCCCCTCTCTTCTTGGCTATAATATCATGTCAATAATATTAACATGTGAAACATATGTCGTTTTATATCTGTTCTTGCCCAGTTCAATCGTAACTCATGTCCTACCTAACTTACTTTATACACGTCTTATCATCGTTCATAGTTTTTTTTAATTGGACCACTTTATTTATATATAAGAAATCATTTCCTTACTGTAAATAAAAATTGAATTATTTCGGTATAACTTCATATTCAAGTTAATGTAAATGATTGAATTCGAAATGGTGCAATAACTATTACCATAAACCTAACAAATCAATAGTTCTGAAACAGTATGAAATAGAACTGTATGTAGTACTCTGTAGTAAATTAATTTTATCTGTAATTTTATAATTTAAAAAAGAAAAGTATCCCAATTTTACGAACATAAAATACCCATTTAATTGTTTTAACAAATTGATCGACGAACCACAAGGGTGGTGTCTGATTGGTTTGAGCTTGCCTCTAAAGGTCAAAAGTATCAGGATGTCCCAGGTTCAAATCCAAGAAGGAATAAAAATCCCCTTTGTGGCCACAGAGGTTCAAATGCAGTGACTCCGGGCTATCTGCATAGCAGGTGTTCGTTCTGGGATTAGTCGGCTCGCATAACGGGTTGGATATCCAGATTAATAAAAAAAATACAAATTGATCGACGATAATTCGATAAAGCAATCCAACTCTAACCCCAACCCTAAAACTTCTTGAAGAGGCAAGTTGACTAAAATTCTTATTAAAATATAAACAAATTTTATTTTGAGTCCAAGACGTTACATATTCATATCACAGAAAATTCCGTTAAAATATAATTAAAATTTAGAGTAACTGCGTTCTGATCTGTAAAAAACAATCTAAAAAACTGCTAAATCAAACCTCTGTTTTATGAACCGTGTCGGCATAAACGATTTGGAGATTTTTTGGTATAGCCTTCATCGATTTGTCATGTGAACTGAATCGTTAAAATACATTCGACTGTTCGAGAATGAATTTGCTTTGAAAAAAATAAAATTGTCAGATTTTAGAATAAGATAAGATTTTGATACAACACGAAGGGTCAAGACGTTCAAACTTAGTTCACATTCCATTCACATCGGAAAAAAAAAACGAAGGAACATGTGATCGTTTTATTATTATAAGCTGAAAAACACGTATTTTTAAACACATTTATAATCATAAAATTACATTACGTTCTTGATTTGATATGATCTTAAAAATTGCTTAAATTAGCATGTTACTCGTTACGAATATTAATTATAACTTTCCATTCCACAACTTGCATCGCAACATTGTACTGTTTTTAAAAGGATAAAATGCGTGAAATAGCAACCTACTATTACAAATTTTCTTATTGTAGCATTGTACTTTCAGTTTTTTTCTTATTACAACAATATACCTTCAAAATATATTTTATTATGACATCGTACTTTCAAAAATTTACCCGTTATAGCATTTGGTAACCTATTACCTTTATTTGTTGACGTGTCATTTAAAATGGGTAAACTAGTTTCATACATTTTTATCCTTGATTTATATATTATAAATATTATAATAAATATTTTTCCTAATATATTTATTAAATATTATAATTCAAATTTCCACATAAACTAAATGGTTTTTGTACGATTTGGTTCGAATTTATTTGGTTACCGAAGATATATTTGACATCGATTTTGGTCAATATATTTTGTTTTAATGTCTTTAATCGATATATGTCAAATAATAAAATTTAAATTACATAAAAATTTAATCATTTTAATTTGTCACATATATTAATTTATATTTCTTGTACATTTTTTGTCGACAAATTTTGGTGATTTCCGACGGATTTATGGTGGATCATCAGCGGATTGGATCGACCATCACCGACGAATGTTTATGTCGGTGGTTGAAAATCCGCCAATAATCACGGTCATCGGCCACAGTTTTTCCATCGTTGAGATCTTCCAGTGATTACTTTTTCCAGCGGATTACCGACGGATTTTTTTGTTGGTGAAACCTCTTTGTTCGTATTGGTACTAATTAAAATTAAATGGAAGAAGAAAGAGAGATTTTTTTTTATATTACTGAATATTTTGAAAATATAATTAATGTAAGAATCACTAAGATTTTTTAAAAAAATGTTGGAATTAAATGTAAATATTTCGGAAATCATGAAATGTGTTTCTATATTTTGAAAAACCATTTTTTTCCTAATTTATAATAGAATTTTATATATTATAATATTGTACGAATAGGTGAAAGATCGTGTGAGAAGTGAAAAAGTGATATGAACCCTTGATCACCTTTAATCTCAAACCCATCCATGAATCACACTTGATAAGGGATTGATCTGATATATTTCATCTCGGTGCATCTCATCATAATGTGCATCTAAGGGTAGAGATCTCTTTTTTACTTTTCTCACCTTAACTCCCTTTCTCATTGGAACCCAACCCTATAGAATAATACCTGATTTTTTTTATTAACCTGGATATCCAACCCGTTATGCGAGCCGACTAATCTCAGGACGACCACATGCTTTGCACGTAGCCCGGAGTCACCGCATTTGAACCTCCGTGGCCACAAGGAGATTTTTGTTCCTCCTTAGATTTGAACCTGGAACCTTCTGACACTTTTGACCTTTTGAGTCAAGCTCAAACCAATCAGACACCATCTTTGTGGTTTGATTTTTATTATATTGTATCTATTTTATAACTCAAAAGTGATGATGAATGAATTTGTCCCATATGAAGTCCTTTGATTGTGGGATTTGTGCAAATGGCAATTTCAAGAAATCTTGGTTTACACTTCTTGGAGTGTTTGACCAAAAGTTTGGCATAAACTATGCAAGCAAATTCATAGATGGTGATATGCAAATTTGGGTGTGTTTTAGATGTGTATTGACATTGTTTTTGTTGTTTTTAGAATGTACAACTTTTAATGCATAAAGTACTGATCGTTTTTAACATCTAATTGCTTTTAAAACATGAGTTACCAACTTTGTTGTTGATGGTTCTCAAAACAACTTCACCTTCCCATAGAGTGTGACACTTGATGTGTTGTCTCCAATTGCTTGGTTGATAGCTACATATACCAATTCATTTCTATTATGCAAATTTATTGTACTGATTTATGGTCCTCAATCAATTATTATATTGTATGAAATTAATTGAGTTGTCTTAGAACGAGGTAAGTACATGAAAGGCCAATACTGCGAGCTTTCAACATACAGTGGGGTCTTTATGAAATCCCATCATTTGAATCGGACCAAAAAGTCTATCCGCAAAACAGAAATAAAACGTGTTAGTTGTTATAAATATTGAGTTAAGTAGTTAAGACCTGTTCATATTGACTTAAGTTGTTAAGACCTGTTCATATTGACTTAAGTTGTTAAGACCTGTTCATATTGACTTAAGTAATTAAGACCTGTTCATATTGACTTATCACATTTATGAATTACTTACTTAATAGATTGTCATGAGTAAATCGACTAATATAGGATGGAAATTCAAATTTTCTGGATCTTCTTTCACGTATACTTAGAAAAAACGTATGTATTTGTTAAAACATAATAAGAACACAAGCCAAAGAGACGTCTGTATATGTATACATATATACACAAAGAAATGGTAACCACGTATCTGATAATTTTTATATAAAGTAACATAAGTTTGAGTTAGAAATGCACGAATGGACCCTATGATCGTGATCGTGTCGGGCCCAACCCTATCTTAACCGGTTAAACGAAATATTACTATTGGCCCTGGTCCAAGCCCAAATGTCTGATCGGTCCTACATTTTCCATTGAGTACTGTTTATTATAAGACCCAATACAAGTTTGGTTAATGGACCGTTAAAAAAAGTAAAAAATATTACTATTTTCGTTTTTATCTTTCATTATATGTGTGTGCATGTGTGGGCGTGCGTGCATGCATGCTTGTGTGTATATATTCTATATTGAAAAAAAAAAATCTAAACTCAAATTGAATCGGTTAAAGACCAATTTGGAAATTTCAAATATACAATCAGTTGTGGCTTAGTTTAAACCTTTGAAAGACCAATTATACAGTTTTTTTATTAACCTGGATATCCAACCCGCTATGCGAGCCGACTAATACCAGAAGGACCACATGCTTTGCAGATAGCCCGGAGTCATCGCATTTGAACCTCTGTGTACACAAGATGATTTTTATTTATATTTGGATTTGAACTTAGGACCTCCAAATACTTTTGATCCTTAAAACCAAGCTGAAACCAATCAATCATCATCTCCCTTTGGTTTCTGTTACACAACCATTAACTTTTGTAGACTCCAAAGGGTTGATTAGAGGACTTGACCAATGATGACACACATCCCATTAATCCAAGAAGTAGTAGTTGAAAAACTCCCCCAACAAAGTTGAATATGATGACATATTTGTGGAGTTTGACCAATCAAAGTGTGACAACATGAATATATCATCACAATTTGAAGGACCAATGAATAACATCATATGACACATGCAAATCTCTTTGTTTATAATATTTCCCTTTTTTAAATCACATTTTGATAAGTATATGATTCTATATATAAATATCATTTAGTGATCCCAAACGTTTGAGGTTCTACCTCTCTTTTTCTCGATGTGTTTGGTTCATCATTTTTTTATATTAACTTGAATGTCCAACTTGTTATGCGAGCCGACTAATCCCAGAGCGACTACTTACTTTGCAGATAGCCCGGAGTCATCGCATTTGAACCTCCGTGGCCACAAGGGGATTTTTATTCCTCATTGGGTTTGAATCTGGGACATTCTGGTACTTCTGACCGTTGAAGCCAAACTCAAACCAATCAAACACCACCTTGTGGTTATTTGGTTCATCATTGTTTATAAATAAAAAAGTTAGATTTATTGAAAAAAATGGTAATTGCAAAATGGTCCCAACAATTTGATTGTTTGGCAATTTGGACAACTAAACCAAGTGGGCAATTTTTTATTTATAAAATAAATACCCTCCAATAATTTTTATTTAAAATAAATAAAAATGGTAAAAACTTATCTCAATTTCTATGTTTATATATAAATATCTCGTTTTGATTAAGACAGGTTACGACGGTTGGTTAAAGGATTGTACTTCATGATAACGATAACAAGAAAACGATTGGTAAGATAGTAAAAAATGAACGATGACGTGATTCTGATACAAACCCACAATAATTTTACTTAAAATTCAAATCATTTAAATAAATTATCTATTTGCATAACAGTAACGACAACGACCAGTAATCCTTACCCATTAAGTGCTTATCGTGTTTAAGACATTTACCAACAATCCATACTGATGATGGATAATGTTACACGATAAGACAAGAAAGAGTGATATCTCCACCCACCAAGTGCTTATCCGATAAGCATTCGGTAAACAGCCCAGCTTTTTCTTGTTTAAACTACATAAAATGAACTACTTGTGAAATTACGAAAAAGCCCATGAAGGGGAAGGGGACCCACAAAATGTGGTGGAAAACCAAGTCTTGTTGTTGATTGGTTGGGGTGGAATTTATATAGTAAAAAGAAAGTGAAGGATAAGAGTGGTGAGTCATTAACAAAAGCAGTAAACACATAATGTGGCTTATGAGTGGATTTGTTATTCTTTTATGCTTCTTTAGTTGATTCTAAAGGTATATTCTTTACATTTTTAATTTTTGCATTTTGTGGAATATGGTTTTTATTTGTTTCAAATATGCCCACAATCTTTCTTTTCTTATAAAATGTTCACAACTTCAAACTGCTTTTAACATATTGGTCTATGATCAGCTAAGGCTGTTTGAAAGTTGTTGAATGGTTTGATGTTGAATGATTAAATGACGAAATGAAATATGATTGTTTGGTAATTGGTTACGATGAAATTAAGGCGTTGAATGGTTAAAGGAGGTTCAAAACACAAAATTATTTAGAGGGTTTTAGAACCATTATAAAGATTCATCTCTTAATGATTCCGAGACTGGTTTTTTAATGAAACTATTAATAGGTAAACAAACAACTCAAAGTTACCAAGCAAAATATTGACCATACTTATCAGCACTTATGTTAAGAGTAAAGTTTAACTAACGTTTTTCAATTTTTAATGAATATCGTTCATAAACTTTAAAAGTCTGGATTTGATTCCTCATGTCTGTTAAGTCCCAACGGTCTTGGTCTCTCTATCTAACGATCATTACCTTTTTTTCCGTTAAGTCCAGTAAAACGACGGGTATTTTAGTCATTTTCACTAATTTTTTGATTTTTTATTTAAATTTAAAAAAGGTTTTATGTTTTTACTTTTAATTGTAAAACAAAAATGGAAAATGAAAATGAAAGGGATAACGACAACCTTTGGTTTTTCTTTTTTCATTTCTTTTTCTTGTTTTACAATTTAAAATTAAAATTATAATGTGTTTTTTTTATTTCAATATAATGAAAATAATAAAAATGACTAAAATACTGTCATTCGATTAAACTTCATTAAGAAAGTTAACAATTGTTAGACATAAAAACCAAAACCGTTAGAAATTGACAAATATAAAGGACCAAATCCGAGTTTTTAAAGTTTAGAAACGATATCATTTAAAAACTGCAAACGTGAAGGATCAAAATTAAACTTTACTCCTTGTGTTAAATATTTATTTGCAATGTTGATTAGCTACGTAACTTTAGAATTGTCATGATCATTATTTCAAAAAGATCAGTTATTATTATAAAAAATCTAATGTTGAACCACAAGGGTGATACCTGATTGGTTTGAGTTTGGATTTTAAAGGTCAAAAGTGTCTGAAGGCTCCAGATTCAAATCCAATGATAAATAAAAATCTTCTTATGACCATAGAGATTCAAATACGGTAACTTCGAACTACCCGCAAAACATATGGTCTCCCTGAGATTAGTCAACTCGCATGTGAATTGGATATCCAGGTTAATTGGAAAAAAAAAAAAAAAAGAGTTCAAAACATACATCTCAGTAAAATTGTAACAGTGTTTCCAGTAAAACATATATAAAGATGTTGGTTTCAAAATTGCAAGAACCCCATATAAATGTTTTTTTAACCACGGATGTCTGAATCAGCTTGTACATATATCGACTAATCTCATAAACCCTGAAAAACAGCCAAGAAAATCCCTAATGGTAACCACATTGCGGGTAGTAGTTAAGACCCCTGAGGATGTGGTGGAATATCTCTTCTGCCCAAGGTTCAATTCCTGACGTACACAATAATTGTAGCCACTGAGTTTAGCGGAACAGATTTCTTGCAGTCACAGTTTGTCGGGATTAATCCAGACATAGCCTATGACACCCTTAAAAAAACCCTAATAGCAAAAATCCCCCTCACCACCCCTAGTTGGGATAACCGTGGGTGTTTAAGCTAGCTTGCATGCACCTCGACTAATCATGCAGTTAACAGTCATACAAATCCTCTATGACCCCGAGGGGACTCGAACTGGTAACCACTTGGGAGGAAACCCAAGATTTTACTGGTTGAGCTACCCTAACCGATTAACGGACCACATAGAGCCAAAATTCGTTAACCGATCAAGCAAACATATTTGCACAAAGATATTACCGCGCGAAAAAGGAGGATTAGAAACATAACGCTTAAACATGTAGAACAAAAGCACGTTGGTTAGTTCTTGTTGATTAACGATTGTATATGAACCTCGAACAAACGCGAGTTCACGATGCGATTATTACACACCTTTTAAAAGCGAGGGCGGAAATCCCTGCAAACTATGTGTATAATTGACCAAGTATAGGTGAAGGTCTCATACCTTTTGAAGTTTGGTCGTAATTTGTATCGAATAGGGTCTAGCTAAGTGTGGGGTTTGTGATGGAATCAGACTTTATGGCATTCTCGACAAGTTCCGACTGCTCCTTACCATGAACTGTGTAGAAACCAGTTGCGGTGGCAGCAGATGGAGCACGGCCCACGTATTTGATGTCGTCTATGTTACCTCGAGACAGCGCTTTCATGGCGGTGGAAAGGCGAGGGGCAATGTAACTGTAGGCCCCCATGTTCATTGGCTCCTCCTGACACCAAACAATTTCTGCATCTGAAAGTATCATGAAGAAAAAGGACATGAATATTAATGTGATAAATTAATTGATAACTAGAATCCAACTATTTGTTTGTTATTCATTCTGAATACCATGTATATTCATTATGAATAAACAATGAATAGTTGGGTTCTGGGTTCTCCATATATATAGGGTCAAGAAAGAATTCCAAAAAAAAAGGAGAACAAAGGAACCCCGATCAACCGTAGGATCTAAAAAATTGATTATCAGATTCAAACGTAACCGCCCCGATAATCATGGATTTAGTTTTGGCAAATTATAACCGCCATTGTTTTTCACAACCGTTAGATTAAAATAGATGAATGGTTAAGACGGGTTCCCGAGAGATTATGTATGTTCATTAAGATCCCGAGAGTTTGAGTTCCTTACTTGGATAACGTTTCAGTTCGCGCTGAATGAGATCATACGGGAAAGGGCAAAGCTGTTCCACACGACAAATAGCTACGTCTTTTCCTCCGGTTGACTTTCGTTTTTCATCAAGTTCATAATAAACCTGCAAAATACAGTCTCGTTAGTATAGCTCGAATGGTAAACCCGTAATTTGAAAGAGGTGCCGGTTCCATTTTCTTGTGGTATGCATGGTATCGAAACTTTTTGCCCAACAAATCCACACGGTCCATGCGACAGTTATTTACGAGAATAACCTTCTGACAAATTTTTTAATGAGATTTAAAAACGCTTCTATCTAACACAAGAACGCCTCAAAATCTCAGAGAATCAATCCCGAGTGATTGACCACTGCGCCAACTTCTTTGGCTTAAGTGGTATGGCCGACTCGGTTAACGATTACTAAATTTGTGTCGGTAAACGACGCCTTTAACGTAAAAAAGACAACTAAAATTTTGGTTGTTAACTTTGAATCATATTACGCACCTTTCCGGAGCAAAGAACTAAACGTCTAATTCCCTCTTCAAGATCCGAGTGATCGTTCTGATCCTTGATCAAGCGCTTGAATCTCGTCCCTTGTTTGTCAAAACCAGGATGACCTTGGACATCATCAAACTCGGATAAATTCGATTTGCAGTCTTTGTGACGGAGCAAGTTTTTTGGTGCCATCACAATAAGCGGCTTACGGAATTCCCTATGGATCTAGAACGCGACAACAAACACAAGAATATAATAACTGCAATACGACGCTCATAAACCTTCGATGAACGTATACCCGAATAAACTTACCTGCCTACGGAGGACATGGAAATAGTTTGCCGGAGTTGTAACGTTGACAACCTGCCAATTGCAAGTTTGAATCTGGTTTCGCAGTGTCGGTTCCATCTCGGGTATAACAAAAGGATTGTCGTCACTCATCTGTCACCACATGTGAACTACGTTGAGTTTATCGTAACAAGAATACAAGTTACCGTATAATGTCCACAAACCAAACGAACCTGAAGGAAGCGTTCTAGTCTTGCGCTAGAATGTTCCGGGCCTTGACCATCATAACCATGAGGTAGCAACACGACCAACCCGGTTTGGCGTAGCCATTTCGCCTCCCCACTGCTCAAGAATTGATCGAAGATCACCTGTGCTCCGTTAGAAAAATCACCAAATTGGGCTTCCCACAACACCAGTGAATTCGGATTTTCCATCGAATAACCCAATTCAAATCCAAGAACGCCAAATTCCGAAAGAGAGCTGTACCAGAAGCATCGGTTGTCAATATCATACAGTGGTGGGAAGTTCAAATAAGAAGTATGTTTTTAACTGGGAGGGGCAGGTTTGGAAAAAAAACTTGGCTTTCTGCATAAAGCTCCCCTAGGAGTTTACTGAATAAGCCGCTTTCTATATCATTAAGCCGCCACCGCTGTGATGTATAACTGACCAAATGTGAGTCCTATTAACCTCGTTAAGCTGCTAACAAACATGCCCTCAACCTTCCCTTCTTACCTTCTCACGATATTTAGCCTTCTTATTTGAACCAAAGAATCATATCGACGTTAAAATGTGAGAATTCCGTAACAATATGAACAATGAGATGAAGTTATGGTACCACAGTAGCTTACCTGTTGCTTACAGTGAACATTTCTTCGTTTTGATTCATTACTACGTGGTCCAAGGGGCAGTATCGCTCACCCGTTTCCTGGTCATGTAGTATCGAATGCCTATGACTGAAAGTACCTCTCTCGACATCTTGACCACTCAACCTCACGTGATTACCTTCCACAAGCAACGTTGCAAAAGCGAGGGCTTCGGCAACCGCCCAATCAACACCCTCTCCTGTCTCGATCATCTTTAAACGATCTGCAAATATCTTTTTAACCGCTCTGTGTGGCTTAAAATTTTCCGGAAGGGTTGCAATTGCTTTCCCAACATTCTTCAAGATCTCGGGTTGGACCCTGCAGAAGAGCGTAAACTTCTTAGCAAAGGTCAAGCCATTATACCACTCCAACAAGGACATCAAAATTGTGCAAGCGTCCCAATAGATTGCTTAATAGGACTTACGTTTATAGAACCAAACGATAAAGTGTCCTACTTAAAAGTGTTACAATAAGTTTATAGAACGTCTTAACAAGTCTTTTAGGACATTTTTAAGACGCCCAAAAGTGTCTTATAAACTTATTACAACATTTTTAAGAAGGGAAAATTGCACCACAATGAAACCAACTTTCACATGATTCCTATTTTGGGGAACGAACTTTCAAAATCGTCATTTTGGGGAACCAACTTTCACCTGATTCCTATTTTGGGAAACCAACTTTCAAAATCGTCATTTTGGGGAACCAACTTTCACCTGATTCCTATTTTGGGGAACCAACTTTCAAAATCGTCATTTTGGGGAACCAACTTGCACCTAATTCCTATTTTGGGGAACCAACTTGCAAAATAATTATAAAAAAATGGGAAAATTACACCAAAATGGAACCAACTTTCACTTGATTCCTATTTTGGGGAACCAACTTTTAAAATCATCATTTAAGGGTCTCTATCGAACTCTTTGTTTATTTAAGGGTCTGATTGATCTGTTGAACAGCTAACAAATAATTTAAGGGTCTCTATTAAACTTTTGGTTGGATTTGCCAAATTTGATTTAAACTTTAATATTGACACCAGATTGGTTAGATATAAAAATCTTGAATGTGATATTTAATATTTATTTTTTATTGCATCAATTAATTTTTTCTATTAAATTGATTTTTTATTGCATTAGTAAAAAAAATTATCGTGGTAATTTGGATTTTTTTCGAAAAATCTTCAATTTGATATCTGAATTTAAAAAAACGAGATTTGAAATGAAAAATAGATTTTTATTGCATTAATTTTTGAAAAGAAATGAATTTTAGTTATTTTTCTATAATTATTTTGCAAGTTGGTTTTCCAAAATAGAAATCAGGTGCAAGTTGGTTCCTCAAAATGACGATTTTGAAAGTTGGTTCCCCAAAATGACGATTTTGAAAGTTGGTTCCCCAAAATAGGAATCAGGTGAAAGTTGGTTCCATTTTGGTGCAATTTTCCCTTTTAAGAAAAACAATTTATTATACGGTCCAATAAAGTGAAGTCATATAAAACGGTCTGTTTGGACACTTAAACATTTTTGGCGTCCTATAAACCCGATGTTGTAGTGTACCGTCACTGTAAATAGCGTATACATAAGTTACCCGGTGTTGCGAATACGTGAAAGCTGTTCGGGGGACTTGAATCCCGTCCAGTAAGCTGAAAGCCAGTCCCTTCGTTGAGGGACGTAATCCTTGCTGGCCAAGAATTCTTCATTTAGGATCGAGGTAATCTTATTTTGTATTCTATCAATATCTTCTTTCGTTGCTTGACCGGTTTCTAGAAGCTTCTTTTGGTAAATTTCGAGCGCCGAGGGGTGATTCCGGATAACCTGTAGCAATTCGTAGCAGTTAGAAGCATCAGAAACTGTACATAAAAGAGGTTTTAGGGGCCGTTTACCAAATGCTTACTCGGGTAAGTGAACACCAAATCATTTTACCTTACCCGATGAATATGGTAAGAATCAAAAATCTTACCGGTAAGAGCGAGACAATGACAAAGAGTCTTACTCGGTAAGCGAGGGGGACAACTCTTACAACAGTAAGCGCTTACCGGGTAAATTGTTGCATACGATACCGTTTTGATGGACTAAAATCTTATCTGGTAAATAAATGATAGTGTTAGATTTACCGGTAAGCGCTTACCGGGTAAGTGTTTGGTAAACGGCCCCTTAAAAAACTACCATAACAACAAAATTGGGTTTGTAGAAAATGTCTCAATAGGCTGTTTTATAGGCCGAACGATAATATACCCTACCTAAGAGTGTTGCAATAAGTTTATATGACATTTTTGAGCGTCTTAAACAAACTTTTAAGTACATTTTTTAAAATAAAGTGTCGTATTAGTTATTTTATAGGACACTATGTGAAAGAGTGTCTTATGATGTTTTATTTTAAAAATGCCCTAAAACACTTGTTAACGCGTCCAAAAATGTCCTATAAACTTATTACAAATTGTTGGCGTTTTATAAACCCGATTTTGTTGTAGTTTACAAACTAAATTATCAGGCAAGAGCGGAATCTAGAGGAAAGATATGAGTAGCGAAATACAAAAAAACGAGAGCTACCTTGTACATTTTGGGCTGGGTAAACGAAGGTTCATCGATTTCATTATGCCCAAAACGACGATAACAAACGATGTCAACCACGACATCAGAATGGAATGTCTGGCGCCACTCCGCTGCAAGCTCACAAGCATGAACAACCGCTTCAACGTCGTCACCGTTGACATGGAAAATGGGTGCGTTCAAAGCTTTAGCAACGTCGGTGCAATACTGTGAAGATCTCCCTGACTTTGGATCGGTGGTAAACGCAACTTGATTGTTGACGACAATGTGGATCGTGCCCCCGGTCGTGTAATTTGGAAGAGCGCTAAGATGCAAAGTCTCGTAGACCACACCTTGGCCGGCGAAGCTTCCATCTCCATGAATCAAAATACCCATGTTCTTTGTTCTATCGATATCATTCGAGTAATACTGTTTCGCTCGAGTTTTGCCAACTACAACAGGATCTACGGCTTCCAAGTGACTCGGGTTTGCAACTAATGACAAATGAATTCGCTTTCCACCCCTTGTCGGGCGATCATAAGAAGTTCCGAGATGATACTTGACGTCACCGGTTCCCGTGTAGAGCCCGACTTCATCCACCGGTCTTGTGCCACCGCTGAATTCACTGAAAATTTGACGAAGTGGTTTCCGAACAACGTTACCTAAAACGTTCAGTCTTCCTCGGTGAGACATTCCAATCACGATGCTCTCGACACCGAGATCCGCTGACCGGTCAAACATCTCTTTCATACCGGGGATTAACGTTTCACCACCTTCGAGTCCAAACCGCTTAGCGGCTGTCCACTTGGTAGCCAAGAAGTTCTCGAACTGAGTACTCCAAATGAGTCGATCAAGGATGACCTCACGTCGTTGACTGTTATATGCCATCGGAGTCGGAGTCTCGATTCTGTCTCTCAACCAATTACATTGTTCCCGGTCAGCAATGTGCATGTACTCGTAGCCAATGTTTCCACAATAAGCCTGTTCGAGTCTCGTTAATATCGCTCTTAGAGTTTGCACGGGACGATTTTCGGACAAAAACCCGGACATCCTCCATACACCAAGGAAAAATTCCCGATCTAAATCAGCTTCACTGAACCCATAAAGAGCGGGATCTAAATCATCAGGAATCTCCCTCTGTTCTAGACCCAACGGATCCAATTTTGCTTTCATGTGACCGTAAACTTGGTAAGCTCTCACAAGCAACAACAACCGCATGCTTTCTTGTATTGTTTGGCCCGATATTCCGGGAGACGTAGCAGCCTGGCCGACAAAGTTTCGAAAGAAATTGTCCCACGACTCATCGACACTATTTGGGTCATTCTCCCAAGCTCTCTGAAGCTCTTCCAGGTAGACACTGCTCGTCCCATCTAGGAAACTATCGGTTAACCGGGAAAGCGGAACTGCCCGAGGGACAGGTGCAGATTGTGCTTTCGATTTTGAAACAGTTGTATGAAAGTATTGACGTCCTGAAGGAACGATTCGTGTTCTTGATGCATATGTTCCACCCTGTGACAACGTTCTCCTGAGCGCAAGCTTTGCCAGATTAGATCCAGCTCGAAACCACGCCATTTTCTTACACGATCTTCAAGTTCTCGGTTTCTCGACCGATCTCAAACCCTGCAAAAAAACAGTTTCAACCTTTAAACATGATGCAATAAATAACAGAAAGAGATAGCATAAGCTAGGTTCTAGCAGAGGGGCACAAATTAACAATTTTGAACCACAAGGGTGGTGACTGGTGCGTCATTGGTTTGAACTTGGCTTCAAAGTTCAAAAGTACCTGAAGGTCTAGGTTCAAATCCAAAGAGGAATAAAAATCCCCTTGTGGCCACGAAGATTCAAATGTGGTGACTCCGGTGGTCGTACTGGGATTAGTCACCTCGCATAACGGGTTGGATATCCAGGTTAATAAAAAAAATAGATATCAGCAACTTGCATAACATCTACTTTTCCTTAATATTATTACATTGCAAAAATACATTAAAGCAAATTGCAAAAGTGCTATTTGTATAATCAACAGCTGTTTCGGTTAATAAGTTGAAAAGGTGGCTATAAAGTGAAGAGGGAACACCTGATTGGCTATTTTGGTCGATTTCGTTTCATGTTCACAACATAACAACTACTGTAAAAACAAAAACAAACACCATAACCACAAAAATCAAAAACCTAGATCCGAATATGACATCAATACAACAACAACAGCAGCAAACAAACAAACAAAGTGGCCTACTTGCTAAAACGGCGCCGATTTTCGAATCAGAGAGTAACACAACAAGAAGTAATATCATAAGAACAATAAACCCTAGAAATCAGCATCAAACGTTAAGAAACCAATAATACTTTTCGAAAAAACCAATGTATAAATCGAACAAACATACGATGAAGAACAATGAAATCCTTAAGAAATCGATACCTCGTATCCTTAAATCGACGGTTTACAGATTGAGAAATTGGAGATGAAAATCTAAGGATTCAATTGCTTCGTTCCCTTTTGAGACAACAAAAAGGCGGCTTCTAAGAACAGTCGCGAACTTGCGATCCTATTTAAAATTCTTCTGGAAAGGGAAAGATAGTCCAAATGAATATTTCTAGAAAGCCCCCTATGGTTTTATTTATTGACATTAACAGTCCTCTTACTTTTCCTTCGACATTCTCTCTCTTCTCTTAGCAAATTAGTAAAGTAAGCTTTAAGTCAAACTTTTGGCTTGCTACAAGTTGGGTTCCGGGACTATACATATGTACTGATAATCGTTTTGTTCGATTGTGTAGTTGAACAGTAACGTAATATATTCGTCCATGTATTTATAAAAGGTGGTTGACAAGATCATATCGTATCTGAATTTATGGAAAACGTAATTTGTAGGTTTTTTAGCAGTATGCTTTAGAAGGGCAATACATTGCTCTTGAAACCCGTGAAAACGTAATAGTATTACCATGACTATAAAAGCGCCTTCATTTGAAAACGACCACTGAAAACTGCAAGCGGCTATAAATTACATTACGTAACACAAAATATATCCAACAACAACTGTATCGATCGAGCTCGTGTAATAAATTATTCATTCGTATCAGGTATTCTTATTAACGTAATTGCAAATGTACACTGATCGTTTGATGTGTTTTACTTAAATGATAAGACGGTGGTTTAACAAAGAACATGATGTGTACATCTTATGCAGACTTATAAGAAAACTTATGAAGAAAGAGGGACTGTTATTGATAATAAATATTTTTACAGGGTTCTTTTTGGACATGGGTAAAAAATGAGGGGTTTGATGCAACTTGTTTGAAATGGTTGAAGGTTGTCTCCTTACAGGGTGTGACGAACATAAAGCACGTTAGGGTTGACCAAACCATTGACCAACTAAGATAATTATACTTTGATTAAATTGCAAAATCAGTCCCTGTACCTTTTTTTTTCTAGTAGACAAAGTTGAGATTCCTAACAATTTACAACATTTACCCATTATATTAAAAAGATATACATTTTAGTCTTCCAGTTAAACAACTTTAATTTGTGGTTGTTCAATGGGTCATGTGCATGACACGTGACACTCACTTAACTACGATTTAGTAATCATCAATTTTTATAACAAGAATTGTTTATTCATCAATTTTGGGTCTTTTCGGTTTCTTCATGATAATCTTACCCGGTAGAAACATGGTGTCAGGAACTATAAATTGGAACATCTCGCCTGAAACAATGCCATTGTTGTTTTATCCGGTAGTTTCCATTTTTCTAAGTCGTGTAATATCTAGAAACCGTCGTTGAAATGCAAAAATCCGCTTTCAGAAAAATAGTTGCATTCTATTTTTCTTTTGTAATATATAATATTTGTATACGATAAATACTCACGCATACTCCTTTCCTTAGGTGATATTCGATCCATTGACCTCATGGGAGGCTGGGTTCTACCAGTAACACTGGTACCGCCAGGTCAACGATCCTCTGATATATAGTTGGAATTTTGGTGGGCATACGGATGCATGAAGGATCGCATGATCAAACAACACCAACGCCACAACCATGTCAATTTCTTCGTAAGTTTTAAATATTATCAGATATAACGAATGTTATGACATGGAAAGAATAAAGAAATTTGATTCATAACGGAACTATTTGAAATAAATACCTTTTCAAAACATCGTGATTGACTTTCTGTTGTATTAAATTGAAGAAAAGATTGCATCAACTTGTTGGAGTGATAATGTTGTCGTCCTTATCTTGTGGGGATTTCTTTTTTGGTGAGTCAAATTAATACAAAGAATTTAGAGATGGGTGTGTTGACGAGATCTGATATACTGGATCGGATGAATACTGAATAACAGCGTTATCAAATTAGATCGTCGATCTTATTTTGGATCATACACTTTTAGTCGGTTGGAATAAAGATCGGCTCTTAACGGAACATATAAAGATCGGTCTAGTTATTTTTCCACCTTTTTATTATTTTTTAACGTACCGAATCAACGAGCTATACCAAGACCGCCTATTCAATATTTACATTGCAACGTCTGGACTTGTCTGAGCATTTTTTTTAGACCATGTTCACTAGGTTGTAACCATATCAGTCGGTACGTTCCAAGACGTCTCTACTGTACTAGTCCCTTGGTCGTCATGACTCACGAGGGAGAAATACACAGATGAGTGGTGTCCGGTCCGGATTCAAAGCTGAAAGCCATAACTAAGGGGCCGTTTACCAAACGCTTACTCGAGTAAGTGAATACCAAGTCACATTACCTTATCGGACGAATATGGCAAGGATCAATAATATTACCAGGTAAGAGCGAGACAAGGATAGAGTCTTACCCGGTAAGTGAGGGCGACTACTCTTACCACAGTAAGCGCTTACTGGTAATTGTTGCATACGATACCGTTTTGGTGGACAGCCTACGTGGACAATGAGGTGGCATGGAAACCTGGTATAATAGGTAAATTTAAATCAAAAGACTACCCAATGCTATAATGGATAAAGTTTTCAAAGTACAATGTTCTAATAAAAAATAGTTTGAAAGTACATTGTTGTAATAAGAAAATTTGGAAATACAATGTTATAATAAAGAAATTTATGAAAGTAGATTGTTATTTTGTGCATCTTGCCCCACTCAAATCAATTCATCTATATATAAATTAAATAATAGTACATTTATTATTCGGTTAACTGATATGGTAAAACAAATCAAATCAGATATAATATATGATGTCATTACACCTACTGAAAAAACAAGTGTAATTAATATTATTGAAAAAGATAATGTCCAAATTAGAGTATGTAAATTCATTGAACATTTAGTCATGTGTACGGGTGCCATTAGTTTCCCCCTTTTCATTTAACCAAATGTCCAACACAAAAGCACCTACCCCACCTTACCATACACCTATAACAATTCACGCAATAAATACACGCTTTTTAATTTAAATAATATAAATTATGATCTGGTTGAAATTCTTGACGTTCAAGTTATTTAATTCTATGGACAACCAACCAACATTAAACCGGGGGAATTTAATTAATCGTTATTAGTTAGCTAGCTTAGGAGACATGAATTGAAAAAAAAAACAGATCAATAAATATTGCGACTTTCATCAAAATGATCAAATAATGCCCAATATATTAACAAAATAGCATTTTTTCATGTTTTACCAAACTAATCACGCGGATCGCCCCCCGGGGGGGGGGGGGGGAATGTTTGACCATAGGGGGGGGGGATCCAACCCTCTTTGACCAAAAGAGTACATAAAAAATATTTTAAATTAATTTGTGGAACCCATATGTATTTGATTTGGGGGACAAAATATCTGGGTTTATTTGAATAGGGAGGTCGCCCCCACCTACCCCTTGGATCTTCCCCGGGGGGCGATCCGTCCCTCCATAGTTGATCATTATTTTCTCTTCTAGTGTAGAAATCGATTTGACAATTAAGGAATGTTTTTCAATAAACGGGGGACAATTTTGACTTTTTTTAAATTGTTTTAGGAACAAATATTGTGGTTTTACTCTATAAAATCAAACACTTCTGCTATCACAACCCATAACCCTTAAACACAATCTACCATGACAACTTTTAACACAATATGAAATCACGTCAAGATTTATAATTTTTACTGCTTTTTTAAACGCATAAATCAACTAACGAATGTTTTTGTATTTTCTTATAAGAGTTATATTTTTTTATAACCACTGAATGTTAATATTTTTTAATAACTGTTGATACGAAAAAAATTATTTGTATATGATTTGGGAGACAAAAATCAGATATTATATCTGAAAAATGTCATATTTTTATAACCACGTACTTTGACCGCTATTTTGTCATTTAGTGGCCTACGATTTGATGATGATTTGACAATCTATTTTGTCTTATTACGTAATATAGGAGGTCGGAGGGGACCATTATCATTATCACCATCCCCACCGACATCCACCACTAGAAACACTCCCCCTTCCGGCATTCCGATCACCCTCGACCATCGATCGCCGATCATCGTCACCGAGCACCGATTACCGTTCACCGACATCCACCATCGTCTGCCGACATCCACTACTGTCTGTCGCCACCTACCATCGTCCATCTCCGCCACCGTCCACTTCCACCGACCACCGTCTGTCGTTCACCAACCACCGTGTGCCGCCACCTACCACCAACCATCGTGTGTCGCCACCTACCACCATCTCCCGCCACCGACCATCGTGGAACAACCACCTAACACTATGGAACAACCGGTAAAAAATTGTAATCTTTTTAATTTAACTTAAAAATATATTTTTTGTCTAGTATCTAGCTTAATATTCTATATTCGCAATATCTCTACCATTTCCATTTATAAATGGTTACCAATTATATTATACAACCTTAAGTAGGCGTTTGATTCATTTTAATTCAGTTTCAACAATCTATAGCTAATGTTTTTGTGTTCCACCATGATTAATAATTAAAACTCAAGTTTAACATTCGATATGCTACCGTAATCTCTCGATATTTTATGACACTACATGATGATAACATAACCAATCACAACCGTAACACCATTAATAGCTGTAAAACCACTATAACAGATAAACTTAATGGTGACAAAAACCCATCGCAAACTATTTATTGAGTCCCTTTCTTAACAATAAATCATACCAATCAACCTTATCAGATACGGTTTTAAGGTTGTGTTTGACAAAACAGTCGATAAACTAGTAAAATTAAGATACATCAGATTTTTATTAAATATAAATTTATCTAGTTTATGTTTTTATTCTCTCAGTAATGATGTGTATTCACATGATTGATGGGAGGATGAGACGGAGATTTTAAGACAACGAATTTTTGTCATTTTTTTGTTGCTTTTCAAGTAAGGTTTTTTCTATTGACATAAAAGTTAAGTTGTTAAACACGATTGAAGAGTTTTTTTTTTTTTTTTTAATTGTAGTATCAAATTTTAGTAAATTAAGGTGTCGTTTACCAAACACTTATCTGGTAAGCGTTTAGAGGTAAAAATTAACATTATCATTTACTTACCAGGTAAGATTTTAGTCCATCAAAACGACATCATATGCAACAATTTACCCGACAAGTATTTACCGTGGTAAGAGGAGTCGTTGTTCTCACTTACCGGGTAAGACTTTTGGTCTTTATCTCGTTCTTACCGGTGAGATTATTGGTCCTTATCATATTTTCCAGTAAGATAATGTGACTTGGTAAGTTCTTATCCAGGTAAGTATTTGATAAACGGTTCTAAGTTTATGAACCGATTATCGCTTATGTTTGAAATTACTTTTTCCAATGTTTTTTTTTTAAATTTAAAACCAACACAAAAAAAGTGCATTTTCCTTCTTATATGTTTTATTGAACTTGTTACTTAGGGATGTTTGGTAGTTGCTGAATGATTTGATACATAATGATTAAGTGGTCAGAATAATTAAGAAACTCTCATTATATAGTGCAAAATGAAATATTATTATTTGGTAATTGTTTACAATAATATTAGGGTGCTTAATGGTTAAAGGAGACTTATGATACAAAATCATTCAGAGGGTTTTAGAACCATTAAGAGACATAACAAACAAGATTCACCTCTTAATGATTCAGAAATTACCTCTTAATTAAATTATTAAGATGTAAACAAACAACCCCTTATCCTTATTTGACCTAAAAACAGGGGTTTTATTTCTTTGTTTGGTAATTGATTTTTATATTTGTAAAGCTCCATTTTTGATCCAAATCATGAAAGACAATTATTTCAAACATACAAATAATATGGATGGGGTCCAAGTGGTATTAGCATAGGAACAACTTGAATATGGTATGGGTTCTTTTAAAGATTCAATGAATGTATGCAACATGCATGTAACATAGAGGTTTGATGGTTTTGGGGGATGTGGGGCCAATGAATCTGATGACTAAACCTCACATATACATACATGAACCACATATACATACACACATATATATATATATATATATATGTATATATACCCCATAAAATGTTCTTCAACAACAACAACAACAAATCTTTAGCTTAAATGCAACCAAATCCTCAAAAGGGTTCATTCAATCAAGAAAACTGCTGATTTTGGTAGAAAGATCTGATCTTCTTGGTGGGTTCTTCTCAAAAGTTACAAAGATGCCTACTTTGGTTAATTATAGTGGTAAGTTACCCCCAAATCTCTTGATGTTGGGGTTTTCTTGATTTCTACCCCTATATTTCTTGTTTTTCATATGAAGGGTTTCTTGATTTCTAGCCCTAAATTTCTTGTTTTTCATATTGGGGGTTTCTTGATGGATAGTTTTGTAATCTGGGTGTTACTTGAATTGTCCAAATTTCCATAAAAAAACCGTTTTTATAACATGTCAAATATGTCCAGGGCCAGAGGTGTTTGAGATTGCTTATTTGAAACAACTTATGTTTTTATTATAAAATTGTTTATCAATTTATTATAAGTTACTTCTTCAAAAACTCTTTATTATTGATTTAGCACCGATATAAACTGTTTATTCAAACACTAAAAAAATTGCTTGTTATTTCGCAGTCAATCCAAAAAACCCTAAATACCTTTGACCTTTGCAACGAGTTTTTACTACATTTTTTAAATATTATTGGATTTACAGGGGAAGATGAACATTGTATGGGGGGATCATCATGTTCCATGGATTGGAGCCGTTTGTTTTCGGTTCTTGATGTTTATAGTCGACCTTCCAAACGGCCACGAATCAGTGACTCGTACAGTCTCTTTTCGGATGATCAAGACACGAAACCATCGATCGAAATCCTTCCCGACGAATGCCTTTACGAGATCTTCAGGCGGTTATCCGGCGGCCGATCCCGGAGTGCCGCCGCTTGTGTCTCAAACCGCTGGCTTACGCTCTCGAGCAACATCCGAAGTTCCGAAATGGTCTTGGAAGAAGTCAAAATCAAGAACGAACCGTTGAATGCCGATGAACACGAGAGCGATGGGTATCTTTCGAGATCGTTAGAAGGGAAGAAAGCAACGGATACTAGACTTGCCGCCATTGTGCTCAGTACGTCTACCCGAGGTGGATTGGGAAAGCTTTCGGTCAGGGGAAGTAGCAGAGTTACGAGTATCGGGTTATCGGCGATTGCCCGTGGCTGCCCGAATCTTCGGGTTCTTTTGTTATGGAACGTGCCATTGGTCGGAGACGAAGCTTTGATCGCGATATCGAAAGAATGCCGTTCGTTAGAAAATCTCGATCTTTGTCATTGTTCTTCGATTTCCGACACGGGTTTAGCTTCAATTGCGGAAAACTGCCCGAATCTCTGTTCGTTAACAATCGAATCCTGCAAAAAGATTGGAAACGAGAGCCTTCGAGCTGTTGCTCGAAGCTGCCCGAATCTACAATCGATCACCATTAAAGACTGCCCGCTTGTCGGAGATCAAGGCGTTGCTACTCTTTTTTCATTGGGTTCTTCGGTTCTTTCGAAGGTAAAGCTTCAATCTTTACACATAACAGACTTATCGCTTGCTGTGATCGGACGTTACGGGATGTCAATCACCAATCTTGCGCTCACGAGCCTTCGAAATGTGAGCCCGAAAGGCTTTTGGGCAATGGGTAATGCAAACGAACTTCGATCTTTGATCTACTTAACGATAAGTGCTTGTTACGGAATCACAGATTTGAGCCTTGAAGCGATTGGAAATGGTTGTGGATCGTTGAAGCATATGGCGCTTAAAAAGTGTTGTTTTGTGTCGGATAACGGGTTGGTTTCTTTCGCAGAATCCGCTCGTTTTCTCGAAGTCTTGCACTTAGAAGAGTGCAATCGGATCAGCCAACACGGGATTTTGGGAACTTTATCGAATCAAAACTCAAAGTTGAAGTCTTTTTCGATAGTGAAGTGTATGGGAATCAAAGATCAAGAACACGAAGCGGTTGACTTTTCCGAAAGTCAATCTTTACGGTCGTTAACGATCAAGAATTGCTTCGGGTTTGGAAACGCCAATGTGGCAATGGTCGGGAAGCTATGCCCACATCTGCATAATCTTGATCTAAGCGGGCTTTGTGGGATAACGGATTCGGGCCTTTTCGAGCTTCTGACGACCTGCAGTCCCGGACTCGTGAAAGTCAACCTTAGCGATTGCGTAAACTTGACCAATAAAGTGGTGGTCGATTTGGCCAAGATCCATGGCGGATCGCTGGAAGTTCTTAATCTCGAGGGGTGCCGGAAGATCGGTGACGAAAGCTTGTCGGCAATCGCGGAAAACTGTTTCTTACTCAAAGATCTCGATGTTTCAAAGTGCGGAATTACCGATTTTGGTGTTTCGTGTTTGTCTCGTGGTCGTCAGACGGATTTGCGGGTTCTTTCATTATCGGGTTGCTCGAAGATTTCAAATGCAAGCTTGTCGAGTCTCGAGAAGCTGGGACCGACCCTTTTGGGACTGAACCTCCAACGATGCAATTTGATCAGCAGTAGCGCGATCGAGTCACTTGTGGTTAATCTTTGGAGGTGTGATATACTTTCGTGAACCGTAAACGAACCGAACCGTTTCAACCCCAGCCCGTTACGGTGAACCTTATCGAACCAGGTGGTCTTGTGGTCCAGTTTTTGCAGGCTTAATTGGCCTGTTTGCGACTCTTTTACTGTTTGGACCTATGAAGCCATGGTGCTTTGAGAGTTTGCTGTTTTTAGGGTCTGTTTGAGGGGTGTGGCTTGGACCATCTTGGGTTAGGTTTTGTGACCATCTTTTTATAGAAAGTGTCTTATTTTCCCAATTTTAAGGGAAAAAAAACTTACATTTTGTTATATGTAATTGTAAGGGGCTGTTTACCAAAATACTTACCAGGTAAACACTTAACGGTAAATTCAACACTATCGTTTACTTATCAGACAAAATTTTATTCATTAAAACGCATCGTATGCAACAATTTATCCCGATAAGCGCTAACATTGGTAAGAGTCCAAATTAGTTGTTATCACCTTTTCATCAATTCTCCAAATTAGTTGTTATCAATTAACTTCTAATAGAAAATTAAATAAAATATAAAAGACAAAGATACCCTTTTTGTTAACGGCATAAAATTAATTTAACGGGGTTAGTTATCAGGATGAACATCAAAGTGAATTGCAAAACCACATGGACGAAAAACGTAGTTTACTCTAGAAATTTAAAATAAAAAATAGTAGAAAGACGAAAATGCACTTGAGTTAACGATTGAAATTTAACAAAAGTCAGTCTCGGAAACAAAAACCCGAAGGAATTACAAACCACAGTGTTAAAAACCTAATTTCGAAACTACAATGACCAGAGTAGCAACTTTGGTGGTTGAAATCTTTTTTCCATGTTCAGTCCAGTTCTAGTCGTACCAAACACTAGACATACAACTTGTCATGTCAAACAGTGGGCGTCTTAATCACTAAGACCAACTATTGTTCACCTCGGTTAATTCGATCTACTACACCTTGTGTTTGGGACATGCAGTCGCTTTCGGTTGATCATAAGTTGCTCGATCATTATGTAACAACAAAGGCGTTTCTGACTGTATAATACGATATCGATAAAACCCATCTAAAATACATGTTTTAAAACACCATTTTATATGTATTTACTGTAACAAAAAAGCAAATTTATTCCAAATTATCTCTCACAAATAATCTCTAGAACAAGTTAACTCAAAATTGATTCATTTGGTAACCCAATTGCAAATGGCATCCAATCCCTTTTTCACCTTTTGTGCAATGCCTTGCCTTTACACAAAGTTCCTCTTAACCTTATATCTACAATGTTGTTCACCCCCAAACCTTTGTAGCATTCTATTCCCACAATAATGGAATCATACAACTCATCATTTTTGTGGACTTTAATGGTTGTTTTCTTACTAAATATCAGTTTTTTGTCGGTTCAGGGGCTCGGGGTGAACTGGGGTACGCGTGCAACGCACCCTTTGTCACCCGATATCGTTGTGAAGTTAATGAAGGATAACGGGTTTGATAAAGTCAAATTGTTTGAAGCCGAGCCTTTCGTGTTGGATGCACTTAGGAATTCGGGAATTCAGGTTATGCTTGGGATTCCGAATGATTTCTTGGCAACGTTAGCAAGCGGTGTCAGGGTTGCAGAGGATTGGGTGACGAAAAATGTTTCTGCGTATGTTTCACGTGGAGTCGATATAAGGTTAGTGTACATTCTTTGTTGGAGAACTCAGTTATTCGTTTGATATATTCGGATAACAGGGAGATTTAGGGTATGTTTGGGATTGATTATTTGAAACAACTTATATTTTTCTACAAAAGTCTTTATCAACTTATTATAAGTTAGAATGATTTAATCTATCCAAAAACTTCTTATTACTGGTTTGACATCGATATAAATTGTTTATCCAAATACTCAAAAGTGCTTATTACTGATGTCACATCGAAATAAGTCAATAAATTGTTTTTGTAAGCAATCTCAAACACCCCCTTAAATGAAAACGTTAAAAAAATTGAAAACGTGAAAACAAATCTCAACCGTTAAAGACGGTTTGATCCACGCCATAATTAACCAATTTTTAATAAAACAATAAATTTTTGGTGTTGTTTAGGTACGTAGCGGTTGGCAACGAACCTTTTTTGAAGACGTACAAAAATATGTTCACAAACGCAACTCTCCCGGCGGTTCAAAACATTCAAGCCGCCTTAATTAAAGCCGGTCTAGGCCGGCAAGTCAAAGTAACAGTTCCACTAAACGCCGACGTTTATGAAAGCTCCTCCGCCGGCGTTCCATCGGAGGGCAATTTCCGGGCAGATATCCATGATCTCATGATCTCCATCGTCCAATTTCTAAGCGATAACGCCGCTCCGATCACCATCAACATCTACCCTTTCCTCAGTCTCTACGCTGATCCGCATTTTCCGATCGACTTCGCTTTCTTCTCCGGAACAAACGCACCCGTCGTCGATGGCTCGGTCTCGTATACGAACGTGTTTGATGCCAATTATGATACACTCGTGTGGGCCCTCGAGAAGAATGGGTTTTCGTCGATGCCGATAATTGTTGGCGAGATCGGGTGGCCAACGGATGGTGACTCGAATGCGAACCTACAATACGCTCGGAAGTTCAACCAGGGTTTAATGAGTCGAATAATACGAGGACAAGGTACGCCGAAACGGAAAACCCCACCGGACGTTTACGTGTTCGGGCTGATTGACGAGGATGCGAAAAGTGTAGATCCCGGGAATTTTGAACGACATTGGGGCATTTTTAAATACGATGGGAGTGTCAAGTACAAACTTGACATGGGAAAGAACCGAACCTTGGTCCCAGCTAAAGGGGTCCGGTACTTTCAAAAACAGTGGTGCGTACTGGCACCGGGGGCGAGTGAATCAGACCCTAATTTGGCTGATAGTATCAGCTACGCTTGCACTCATGCTGATTGTACAAGTTTAGGTTACGGATCATCGTGTAATGGCTTGGATGCTCGGAGTAATGCATCGTACGCATTTAACAAGTATTTTCAAACGTTAAACCAACAAAAAGGAGCATGTGATTTTCATAATTTATCGGTTATTACGAAAATCCAGCCAAAAACAGGAAAGGCGGGCTGCGAATTTGAGATCATGATCGATCTCGGGAAGCACGAGAAGGCACGGAAGACACCGGCATCGGCAGCGGCCGGGAGATTGCAAGGTTACGGCTACTTGGCAATCGTTGCGTTTCTTTTGTCATCGATCGTTGGATGGGTTTCATGAGGAGTTTTAGTTTTGAATCTTACAAGATTGTATTATAAGTGTATATTTCTGGTCAATAATGAAATTAAGAAGTCAAAGTTTCATTGGTTGAAATCCAATGGATTTACGTAAATTCGATCCAATCTAATCATCTATTGAATATCGGATTTTGTTTGGTAATTATTTACAACGAAATTAGGATGCTAAATGGTTAAAGGAGGCCCAAGATACAAAATTGATCATAAGGTTTTAGAACCATTAAGAGACAAATTTTTTTGTTAAACAAGATTCACCTCTTAACGATTCAAAAACTGTCTCTTAAAGAAACTATTAAAAGGTAAACAAACAACCACCTGGATATCTAACCCGCTATGCGAGCCGACTATCTCATTACAACCACCCTGCTTTGCTGGTAGTCCGAAGTCACCGCATTTGAATCTCCGTGGTTATAAGAAGATTTTTATTCCTCTTTGAATTTTCAAGATGACATATGGAACGTTGTATTCAAGTAACAAATGTTTCAAAGTTAATATAAGCTATTCCAAATGTGTTTGTATATATATATAGAGAGAGAGAGTGTGTGTTTGTTTCAAATACAACCTATCGCATTTGTACAACCAATACAACCCAATAAATTGAAATATTTATGGAAATGATGAGAGTTCATTTATTATGATTTAAATATTTATGGAAGATGAATACAATTCATTAATTATGATTAATACTTTATATTACGAAATAATCAAAACTTCTATAAATTACATATTCATCAAATTAAATGGACGGTTGAGATTGAGTTGTATTGGTTGTACAAATATAAGAGATTGTATAATAACTCACCTCTCTCTCTCTCTCTCTATGTGTGTGTGTATATATATATATATATATAGCCCGGAGTCACCGCATTTGAATCTCCGTGGCCACAAAGGGATTTTTATTCCTCCTTGAATTTGAATTTGAGACCTCCTGGTATATTTGATCTTTGTAGCCAAACTCAAACCAATCAGACACCACCCTTGTGATTGACCAACTAATTTTTTATCATCTAAGATAGCTATCTCGATGGTCGACGATGATTCAGATTGGCAATTATGGACTGTGGTTCAAATTCCTTTAAAATATGCAAACCAAACACTCTCTTAAAATTTATCCCAATATTTATCTTGTATTTGAGTAAAGTTACACACCTGATGCTTTTAGAGTCAACATTGAAGCCAAATTTTGGGACCCAATAAATAGTGGTCGAACCTAGAGATGGTCAAATGGGCCCGGCCGTAACCGACGGAGGACCGGGACCGGGACCGGAGAGGGACCGGGACCGACCGGGACCGGTAGGGACCGGTTGAGGGACCGCCGGTTATGATCCGGTTAGGGTTTTTGACTTTTTTGGGACCGGGACCGGTTAAGACCGGGACC